CAACAAACACAACCGCGACCACAACCACAACCACAGACGCAACCACAACCACCACCACAACCACTGCCACCACCACCACCACCACCACCATCACCACCACCACCACCACCACCACCACCACCACCGCCCAAACCACCACCAGCCACACCACCACGACCACGACCGTAACGAATAATAACAATCATCATAATCACTACTCCTCTTGACTCCTCCTGCTGCTGCATGCTACACTTCATGAACAACCCAGTCTGGCCTGCCGCACATACAGATACATGATGCCCGCCTGCAGATCGTCTCGGGGCTGCAAGGTTAGATGAATTTCTCAACCCTGAGCGGTAAAACCTGCAGAATCAAGACTCAAGGTGCCGGTGCAAGGTGCAACTTCGAGTGGTATTTAGGATTTCCAGCCCTGCCCCGCTCACCTCCGGCAGCGTCAACAGTGCGAGAAAAAGGTACATCAGCACAAACCTCGGAGTGCAGTTAAGCTTGAAGCTTAGGGCCTAAACAGCTTGACTAACTGTTCAGACCTCGATATTACATCTGCCACGAGTTCGACCACCGCGTTCAGGAACTGTTGTAGGTCACTCCACACTGCTGCAGAGCAACCTTATTTTTTTCTAGCATGCCCTAGCCCTAAACTCTTATAACACCCTGGGCTTGTTTAGGACACCCTAAATGCCAGCAACCTGAAATTCTATAAGGTGAGCGCCACTGCTCCGGATTTATACAGAGTTTCGGCTTTGCATTCCGTGTGGGAGATCAAGTCAAGCGGATTCTAGAATTCCAAAATCAAACCCAAAGGCCTCGATCCTAAATGTTAAAACCTAATCTAATCCCCAAACTAAACCCTAAACCCTAAACCCTAAACCCTACATCCGGAGCCCAATGTGGCCTGGCTAAGTTTGATTCTTGAGGGTTTAAGAGTTGCGAGGTTTGGGATTTAAGCTTGTGGTTCAGCATTTAGGTTCTCCCGAGGACGGCAGGAGGTTTAGACCAAATACTGTTTCACGCCCTAGCGCCTAAGTCCTGGACTCCTACACCCAGGCTGTATCGAGTCAAGACCCAAAATGGCCAAAACCCGCCCGAACACAACAGTGTCCATACCAGTGTGCCCGTCTTTTGATCCAAACAGCCTGGACCGAAAACCCTAACGCCTTCAGATATAGGCCTTAGTAAGAACAAGCCTTGGGGGGTTCATGGGTTCGTTGCGTAGCCACATACGGACTTGACAGTTCACAACAATTATTCATTCATCCATATCAAAAAAGGATATGAGCCATAAACCCCGAAACCCCCAAGCCCTCAACCCGAGTCGAGCTTGAGATCTTGGATCCTTCCATGATCCCAAACAGCATGTTTAAAAGGTTTAGGGCTTTGGGCTCAGAATCTTGGCTTAGAGCTAAGAGAAAGGTTTCCGGCTCAGGGTTGTTTTCGAAAGATTATATGTTAAGTGATAGCTGCCTTGTTTAAGAACCCAACTTGATGACCTCGCTGGTCTCGTCGGCCAAAGCGAGGATGAGCACGCTCGCAACGAAGGCAATGACCTCGGAGAACGCTCATCGGAGCAAAGCTGCCCAGGGTCTAGGGCCTCTGGGGGGCGGTGGCTGGCGAAGGTCAAAGCCATCCCAAGCTAAACGGCCAAGAACCCTAAACCCGAGACCGTCGAAACACTGAAGCCCTGAGTAAGTTGCTGTGGGTTGGCGACATGGCGTGGTTGGGATTACAACAAAGCTTGCGGCGACGGCTGCAACGAAACAGCAAGCAGATGCCACGGAAACATATGGTACATGTGCGCTCTTTAAGCGGCTTGGACAGACTTCGGCACATTATGTTGGCTTTCCGGTGCATGCAGAGTCTTAACTTGGCCCAACAGTGACCAAGTCGTGTCCGGATGTCAAAGTCCCGAATATCTCGGCCTATCAATGAGCAGACACCAAACACGCGTGATTCCAACCTCAACACGATGCCAGGGTTGCGGGCCGAACAAGCAAGTTCAGGCAATGCATGAGAGGCCCGGTCTTGTCATCATACCACTCATCGTCCTACTTCGTTTAACAGCAGGTATTACAGCAGGCCATGCAAAAGGAATACGGGACTGTGGCGGGAGCACGATTTTGGGGGGGAAAAGCACCCCAAAATGCGCACGGCAATCGCTGATATTGTTTACTCACACTGTCAGCCCTATCCCAGAAGACCGAAACAACACCAAGTCTGGAA